ACAATTGTATTACACTTTGTCATGGAGTCTTTCAAAAGAATCTTATAAATCACTAGCTGACCCGGCAAACGTTGTTTTACCATGTATGTATATATTATTTGCCATGTATAATATTTCTAAGAAAATTTTTTTTTGTTAAATAAAAATAACTATGAATAATAAAAAATAGGTGTTGATCGTGGAGGAGTGAAAATTAAGGGTTGTATGTATTTTTGTATGATGTGTCATAAAAAAATAAAAACAAAATTTTTGTAGAATAAATAAAAAAAAAAAGGATGCGTGTACCTATGTACGCGCGTAAGAAGTTATACTTCTTTGGCATTATTAAAAATAGTTTTTGATTGCATGCAAATAATGAATTACAATTAAATCATCAAATACTAGAAAAGGAGTAATTATAGTCAATAAAGTTCAGTTTACATTTGAAAAATTAAATAAATAAATATTTATTATTATTCTCTTACATTAAGTGTAACACAAATTCTATTATTATTCGAATGTTGTTTTTAAATTATGTCCAATGCCGTAGCATCTTCCGTGGGCAACTTCATTCTGTTAATTTAGTGTCACGGTGCGCGCGCATTGTAAAATTTCATTCTCATCCATTTTTCATAACGCGCCTAACCCTTATCACTTAGGGGTTTGAAAGATAGATAGTGGCCGATTTTCAGACTTACTGAATATGCATAAAAAAACATAAAAATCGGTCGACTCGTTTCGGATGAGTATGGGAGCGAACATTTTGACACGAGAATTTTATATATTAGTTTTCTACTAATAGGCTGTCAAAGTATTTAGATAGTATAACCAGGGAGCTGGCGAGCATTTATTTATATGATTTGCTCGTATTCCTAATTGATAGGAATTAAAGTTAGGACCAATACGACAAAATTTTCTTATATTTATTACTAAATATTCTTATAATATTTACTATTATATATCAGAATGTAGATATATATATATATATATATATATCTGCATTCTGATTGACTTCTAACTCAAAATCCAGGACTTATCATATCATTGGACAAAATTGTCAACAAAACATATTACATATTCAGAATAACCTATATTGCTCCAACATTTCTTCAGGCGGTAATTTTTAACTTTTTAGTAAATAAAAAAAAAAGTAGTATTTGCATTTATTATGATTTTGGTGACTAGATATTTCTAGCCCATGTTCATGTGACGAAATATTCAAAGCTATAAATAATACAGCTGCAGGTAAACTCAATAACTACCAAAATGCTAAAATTCTCCTCACAACAACAAGGAAGTATCCTTACCCACCTCATAAATTTATCTTTTACAGAGGGTTCCTAGCTGTTTAGAACTATCAGTAATGAAATCTATGTTTAAAAAGGGTAATAAAGTAGATATTAGTACTACAGACCTATAAATTTAATACTAACTTTAGCTAAAGTGCTTGAAAAACTTATGCACAATATATTGAGCTCTTTTTAGACAAATTCAGTGTTAAAAATGATGAACAGTACGGTTTTTAAAGAGGTAAAAATACTATCCTAGCAGCTTTCTCTTCAAGGTAATTGTGGAACATATCGATATTTGTAGATTTTTTGACATGAGCCAATCATTAGATTGCGTAGATTACAGCATTTCTTCTTCAAAAGTGTAGACGTAAGGAATTCGAGGATTACATTTGAATTGGCTGGCGTAAGCAATAATACCTTACTCGGCGTAAGCTATATGTTGAAATCACTCATAATTCCTCTCCTAAACTGATTAAAAAATATTGAAATGAGATACAAGTCTTTGGCTATGTATTGCCATAAAGGCGTTCCTCAAGGGAGCATACTGGCCCATTACTGGTTTTTTCTGTACATTAATGATTTACCGGATTTGTTAAGTAATACATGCGTTCTTTACGCGGATGATAACTCAATGGTCGTGTCCGAAGATTCTACCGGTACCCATGAATCGTTATTGAATGAAACAGTAAATAATGTCACCGAGTGGCTGGAAAGTAATAATTTAAGTGTAAAATAAATGTATGATAATACCAGACCCAATAAGCTCAAAATGACTTATAAAACGAGTCAATTGAAGAAGTCGTATCAACAAGTTTCTTGACATAACAGTAGACCAAAATCTTACTTGGAAACAACACATTTTATCCATATGTATATATAGGTAACCCACCTTAATCAATTAGTGTTTGCTTTGAGTCGAAGTAGCAAAGTAGCCTCAAAATTCTCTGAATTTATTGCGTATCACGGCTATGTTGTCTCAGTTCTGCGCTATAGTTATGGGGAAATTGGGTAGATGTGAATAAAGTTTTTACTACTCAGAAGAAATGTATTATATTGGGTGTTGGACCTCTTGTAAGCTGCAGATAATTTTTTAGTAACTCGGTATTTTGAAGTACCCAAAATTATTCAAAACATTTAAAGAAACTTGCCTGTTTCTATCGAGAGATCCATCATCCAACACGGATCTGGGTGCCTGCATGTTGCACCACGATGTACTTAAAAAATTGTAACGCCATCAAACTATTTAATCACCTTCCTAGAAGTTTTACATCGCTGCCGTGTAATGCTTTCAAGGGGAAGATACCTTTATAGCGTGGGAGAGTATTAAGACCATAATTATTATGACAATTAATATGACATTTGCATGCTGTTTGTGACGTTTTTTTATAATTAATCAATCTGAATGGACCTCATTATTTGCAAATAAACTATTTATTATTATTATTAGTTATTTATAAAAATAAAGTCATTTTGTCACTAATATTTTTATTAACATCAACAATGGAATATTTTTACGTGCGTTTTTCGTACAAAATAATTATCGAGTAATAACTACATGGCACATTTAATTTGTATTAGGTATAATCATAGTATAATTAGCAACAAACTATATAAATTTGAACAGATTGAAGAATAGTCTAATTTTTGGAACATAAATATCACTGAGTAATTAAAAAAACATTTTCATAAAACCCTGAAAATCCTAATTAAAAATAACTCTATATAGAACGCACTAAAATTATCATGACTATTACATTGAAATATGTCACAGCCTAAAGATTCTAAACCAAGCAACAATAAAATTATACTAAATAACAACAAAAACTATAACTGATATGCAATAACAAGTCAAGTATTAAACTAATAAATAATTAAATATACTTTTTTTTAAATATATCAAATAAATAATTTCAAAAGTGGCGATTTAGCCCAGTCAACCACAAAAATATATAATAAACAGATTTTTAAATAACTAACTGGCACGTAAAGACAATTTGTCAGGATCTTCAAAATGTTTTTGGAAGGTGTTATAAAAAACTGGGTGCGTTTAAATAATATTAGCCAATAATTATTAAGGGGACCAAATGAACAATTTAAATCAGTCTGTTATAACACCGCCGCATATGATTTTGTTAACAGGTAGGAACTTGGACAAAATTTCCAACAAAATAATATGTGCGAACAGAACGCTTATTGTTTGCGTAAAAAATTATTCATGAAAAAATACAGAAAAATGTCTTGGGCATGCGGCAATATATTAAGGTCTAATTATAATGTTTCTAATTAGACTTGTAATAATTGTAATGTTAACAGTAGATTTAAGACTACCATATTAAAAATTTACATTTTGCATTTGTACTATAACGGTTAATTCGATTGCATTATTGTGAAATTAATGAAAATAAACTTGCGACAAATTTCCGCACTATACGCCTCTTGGATATATAATATATCTATTGTGGCGCGGCGTTGCGGCGTTGTGGCAGATTCAGGCAACATGCGGATGTTCGCCTGCGATGAGCTGAAGGGATTACGTTATTATTTCAGTAAACAAATATTAAAATGTGCTTAAAAGTGTGAGTTTTAAAATTTCCCAATTTAATTATTTTTCGGAATCGGAAATTGACTTTTTATTCGTTTCCGGACGAAAATAGGAAATTAAAATAATTGTTTGATCCCTACTTGCTGTGTCATGAATTTCCACGACCTCCTGAACAGGTTATAAAATAGTTTATGCTCTATAATTTTTATTAATATTTTTTTCTTGATTACTTTAATAATTTGAAAGAAGATCTCATTTTTCGTATATTTACTTTACTTACCATTCAATACAAATTTTCCGCGAAAGAATTCTGCATAAACATTCTGAAATCAGCACTTGACAATTATTGTATCTCTTAAATAATTTCTTATTGCGTTAAACCAAACAATAATCGAAAACGTGCAGTGGTATGCAAATCATGTGATTATTGTTTTGAGAGAAAGACTGCGAGTTGCCGCCGCTAACCGACAGATAGCGTCGCCTTAGCTCCGCTACTATATCAATGAGGCGTATATCATCAATGTAACTGGACAAAGCTGTTTTCATTAAAATCACTGGTACAAAAAGTGTAATGATAAAGCTCACGTTAATTTGGTCATATGAAAAACAATTTGTTTGTTTGCCATTGCTTAATATGTGAGTATATTTTAAATGTAATTTATTGCATTTAAAATATATATAATTTTCAATTAATAAATATTTTGAATTATAGTTTTGTAACTACATATGTGATAGTTACAAAACATAATGTGATTGTGGTATAAAAGAAATGTTCCAAAAATATATAAAGGCACTTAAAACACAATTGCCAGAATAAAGAAAATTTTACCTTCATCAATTTTTATTTAACTATTTTCATATCTACCCTTTGCGTAAGCCATATGTCAGAGCCGAAGCTTAGCCAATCTTCGCAATATCTTTAAACGCCTTTTTCTATTTAATTATATCCACAATCCACATTTGGAATGAATGTAAACAACAATTATAATTTATCATTGACATATTATGTCTGCTGTATTGCTAACAAAATGCACAAAATACAGCATATTGTATACAATAATATTTTGTGCATTTTATGTATGATAAATGATATTAAAGTTTTAAATAACAAGAATATTTTTAAATTCAAATTTAAATCATTCATCAAGTTTTTAACAGTCAAAAATTTAAAGTCAAACTGTTTATTGTCAATGGACCCATCGTCTGTAAGTGAGATTCATGAGTAGTGTCACTCCATTGTCAATTGGACGTACAATAAACGGTATTGAGGCCAGACCAACGGCTACTGTGACCAAACTTCTTGGTGTTGGTGGTAGACGCTTAACATTCTTTTGTAAATAAGTGTTGGTGTATGCACAAATCCTGAAAATTAACAATTAATTCACTTTATTTCATTAAGTAACCTTATGGGCTGTAACAAAATGACACACTTACAGGATCAAAACATGTTTATAATATATCAATTAATTTTTGCATAAATAAAAAAATATATAAATTTTAGTTAATAATTAGAAGCATAAAAATAAAAATGTTAGCAACCATCGCACACTTGAAGCCAAAATGAGCCACCAAACTTAACTCCTGCAATATACAAATTACTATGTATTGAAATGATGATAACATATATGAATAACTAGCATTTTTACAATTCGCATATTTATTTAATTTATTCGAAACTGTTCTTAGATATCTAATATACAACAACTATACATATATATATATATATACCCAGCGGCCAGCGTGTATATTATAGTCTATGAAATGTTGAAAGTTAGTGTTTTATATTGATGTTATTTCTCTGTTACTTCTCAATATTTCTATTAAAAGAAATGTTTGTTGAAAAACTGTGTTTATTAAAAGTTAAGGAAAGAAAAAAATTAAATAGCAGATTAAATTGGTTGATCCATTTTGGGCTATGTCTCTAGAATCAACCAATTTATTTTGACTTAATTTACAACAATATATATATATATATATATATATATATATTGATTTACCTACAGTGTCAATGAATATATATATAACTATCAAACTATTCAATTCAATTCAGAAGCCTTACCTGTTAATTGTAAAGCCTGGAATAACTACTGAAGCCAAAGTCTGCCAAATCAGAGCATCACCTGTTTCAATTAACACCTTCTTTGGTCTACCATCATTCTAAAAGACCACACACTATATAAGAAACTATTTCATTTTAATCTACTACTACTTAAAATTACTTTTAGATTTATTTAATGTTTTACTATGTAAGAACTATTTTAATGTCCCTTGACAAATGTTTATTTTTATCTATTACTCATTATAATACATTATACCTGTATATAGTAATATAGGATATATTTAAAACATAAATGGCCAGCTTTGGTAAGCAGCTAGTATACAATAAAGTAAAGTTATGTAACCTGAATCAGGCACACATTTTTGTATTGGAAAGAAGTTTCAAATAATGTTTTCTTTACCAGGATTGTAACTGTAATAATTGGTACTGTAATTGTTATTTCTTATTAGGATTCTAATTGTAACAATAATGCTATTAATGCCTTCAACACCAAAATTTTTTAAATTACAAGCTAGTAGATAAAACTCATTATTTTATTTTAATAAAATTTTTGTGTGTGTTGGTGTTATTTACAGACCAAATAGAATTTTAAAATGATCTTGCCATACCTGATACATCTTCCATCCTTTATCCCCAGTGTCAGCAAAGGCGTAGGCAAATGCAACAGCATAGCTAGCCCTTACAACTTTGACGGGTACAAGTGACCGAAACGATTCACCCACTTCATTGGCATACCCTGCAAACATGGATCTTTTCAGTGACCAATACATTAGCAAAGATGAGGGGTGAGTTTAAATTTATTTCTCTTTTGATTTTACTATGACTATTATTCATGTTTTTAATTTTTATATTATGTACATATTACAAATTTGTATAACATTTATTAGTTGTAAAAGTAACTAACAAAAATTAAAATAGCTAAATAATTTTACTATAACAAATCTACAATTATATTTAGATATTAATATTTGTACACAACTCTTTAATAAAAGAGTTTGTAAAGTCAAAAAAACTATGACTACATTTTCGACATACCTAAGTATCGAACCCATGTATCACGAAATAAATCCACTTCACAACTAGACATTGTGAAGCTAATGTTACACACTCATCAGTACGTCTGTATTCCGTAGATTTTTTAGCTAGCCTAAAGTTTTTTTTTAAATATTTACGAATGTTAGGTAACCCAGGAAGCAGAAAGTTACATCCAAAATATAAAACTCTTTAAATTTGAAGTAACATATTTCTAAAATATAGATAATTTTATTGTAGCTTTCAGTTTCCCTTAGAGAAAATTCCAGTTACCTTCCGGTAAATCTTTTTAAAATAATTCCGCAAAATATTTGCAACATCAAATTATAAGACGTACATGAGCTTTGATAGAATGAGAAACGACTGACAAATGACAGATGTTTAATGTTAGCTAACTGTCAATTTTAAATTCACTATGGTCATATTATTATTGCCCTTGACACCATAAATTGCAGTTGCCACTTAATGGAATTTATCATATTTTTGCAAAAAAGTTCGATCGTATTCATCGACGTAACATTTCAAGTATTTATTAGTCATCCAATAAAACATATATATGTTAACGTAAAATTGTAAAAACCGTTAGATTGTAATCTATCTCGCGAGATTATAAACTGTCGAAAGATTGTGAACCTCAGCGTACTGCTTACAATTTAACGTATTATTATTCGGTAGATTGTAATCTATCGAAGTGAAACCGTCAAATTGTGAAACGGCCATTTCCTACTTTTCTATTGGTTATAAGAGATGTGACATTCTCGTTTTCTATTGGTTATAAGTGATGTGACATTCTCGGTAAATTAATCGGACCGATTATTTCCTCATTTGTTAATTTTAAAGTTGAACCGAATCGAATGGATTATTTCCTCATTTGTTAATTTTAAATTTAAACCTAATTTAACCATTACTTGTCAAATGTACATACATTACATTAACTTCATGTTTCAATTAGTGTAGGGTTCCGAAAATTTTGAAATTATTCAAAAATAATCTATTTTTTAAAAGTGATAATCGATTTTTGTATTCGATTTTGAGTTTCAGTTGAACAGTTATTAAAAAAAAATATTAATATACTAACCTAACCTAACCGAATAATAATACATTTGTTGGACAGCACCGGCGCTACGGGAAATGCAGCCCCTCCACCCTTGCGTACCAAAGCACAGGCAATTTATTTAAGCCTCCACAGCTTTGGCTTTTTGGACCAGCCTTAGCCGCTACGGCTTGCATAATGCCTGTGCTTTGTTACAGCGGGTTGGGGCTGCTCTTCCACTGCGCCTCCGATTTTTTTTATATACACTCTAGGGGTAGGACAGACAAGACCACGTGGATAGTGGGGTGCTCTGATTCGGTTTTGGGTACTTTTTGAATAATTTAAAAATTTTCGGAACCATACACTTATTGAAACATGAAGTTAATGTAATGGTTAAATTAGGTTTAAATTTAAAATTAACAAATGAGGAAATAATCCATTCGATTCGGTTCAACTTTAAAATTAACAAATGAGGAAATAATCGGTCCGATTAATTTACCGAGAATGTCACATCACTTATAACCAATAGAAAACGAGAATGTCACATCTCTTATAACCAATAGAAAAGTAGGAAATGGCCGTTTCACAATTTGACGGTTTCACTTCGATAGATTACAATCTACCGAATAATAATACGTTAAATTGTAAGCAGTACGTTGAGTTCACAATCTTTCGACAGTTTACAATCTCGCGAGATAGATTACAATCTAACGGTGTTTACAATTTTACGGTGACATATATATTGCTTTAACTAAAACAATGTCATTGAATTGTCTAAATAAAATTGTTCTCAGTACTTAACTCGAAAATACAGTTTTTTATAAACATTAAGAATTTTAATACAGGAATAAAATGTAAGTATTATATGTATATGTAATGAGCTATTATTATTATATGTATATTGAAGCGAGACAAAGTATACATATTTCTTTTTAATTAATATACGGGAGTTTTAATAAATTTGAGTAGGCAGTCCTTTGATCAGCTGTTTGTCTGACCTTTTGTGTCAAAATGACGGATTGATTAGTAAAACGTCAAAACATGTCAAAGCAAAATCATCAGTTCTCGAATAATGGTTAAGGGTGATATACCGCTGTAGTTTTAAAATATGTTTTTTATAAAATACATTATTTAAATTAATCGCACGTACTGAATCTTTTGTAGTAACAATTAATTGTATTGAGATTCGTAAATCAAGACGTGATAGCCGAAGACCAGTGTGCACTAAATATAACGTAAGTTGTGTCGATAATTTGTAGAACATTACCTACTATTTCATTAAAATTTCTTACAATAATACAAATGTACTTACAAAAACCTTCACTGTCACTTTACCCATAACATTCGTTTAATGAATTTTTATTGCAACACGATTACGTACGTCTAATTTATTGATCAGCGCCAAGATTTACCTAGTGTTTATTTTAGATGGGTATTTATTACGTATTCCTAAAAATTAATGAACAGAAGTGTGACGCTAAATTGTTCATTTCATGCATTTTTGATAGTGTTAATAACATTAGGATACCTCATGATTTCCTAAATTATTTTTTAAAAACACGGCAACCATTACTAATATTCGTCAAAAAAATTGGCGTATTATTTTACAATCATATAATTTACCTATTCGCATAATACATTTAGTAGGTAACTAATATAGCTTCCAATTATGTAAACACTAAAAATTTACTTGATTTGTCGAAAGCAGAAGCAATAGAAGTTTTTTAAATTTCGTATGCGCATATTAGCGTCAGTATATTACTAGTTTCAAACTTCCCATCGTCCCATGACACAAAAGGTCTTCGGGATTTTTTTGCTTAACAGAACTTCAGTTTTTTTGTCGTGCACCCAAATCTCACTTGGATTTACATTTCTGCTATTTGTTATGGCCCGTCAAATTCAAAAGTTTTGTTTGCCGTACACCTTTTCACATTCGCTCAAATACCGGATCTAACAAACTACAGTACATTGTTCGACAACAAGCATCATTACAGACAAAGGACGTAATTACAAATATTGTAGTATTAAATAATCAAAACTCATTATGATGTCTTTTTGGATAATTGAAGTAGGTTTAGTACGTAGCAGTAAATCAAACCGACACTTCGTAAATTCGCCAGATAACCGGAGCAAATATGGTCACTGCTATCTCTTCCATTATGGACTATTTAATAGAATCATACGCTTTATGTATTTATGAAACAAGCATATATTTACGGTTTAGTATGCAGAATTCAAATTGAATGGCGTGAATTGATGTTAAAAATGTTTTGTATTTTCGTTCATCGACCACTGATACTGACTACTCTTTAAAGTTAAAATTAAGCCCCACAAAAAGAGACCCCAGGCCCTAGGGTTTCCCCATGATCATATTAAAAAACTTCGGAATTCGTACAATGACTCGACGGACTTTTTGTGAACATTATATTAAAAATCAATATTTTTAAGTAATGATAAAAACATTTTGCTTATTAATAAATAGTTCGTTATACATGCATTGTGTATTTTATTACAGCGAATAAAAAAATATGTTACGACGACATTAGCAGTTAGGCAATACTATCGCATTTTTTAAATATATTTTAAAATATATACACGATTATATATATTCATAAGGACTTTTATTTTGGAAACAATAGTAATATCACGTACGTCTCCTTATTGCCTTCAATTAAGTTACTTAAATAGTTACCTTAAGGAAAATGAAAAATGGTGTAATACTGCCATGATTCGTCCTTCGAAATTAAAGAAATTGTTTCTTTAATTACTTGTAGCAACAATTAATCTAAAAAAATATAATGTTACATATCTTTTAAACGCCAATAATTACAGTCCGTTCATATCCCAAAAAAACGAACGATAGATCGCTCACACAACTTGCGGATCTTCTTGAGAATCAAGCAAAAACCTACGTGCTAATGAACTAAAAAATCACAGCGTTGTATATCTTATTCTTAAAAGTGCGACGTAATGATCTTATATTCAAATAAATGATTGCTTACATAGCAATAAGCAAATATACTTGCGTACTTGGGTATTCGCGGAAACGTGACAAATCGTTATACGTCAGGTATGGGTACTATGAATAGGTATAATTAAAGAAGCTATTTAACTTATCAGAAATGTCAAGGAAGGAAATTTTTAATTCTTAATATTTCGTGTTTACTCATTCAAAACTAGTGTTCGGCTAAGGTGATCCTAAGGTCGTGGTTTAAACGCCGGCTATTTATTATCATATTAACAGATTCGTGTCATACTTAGCGACTAGTCTCTGAATTTTACCCTTACATAAATTGACGAAAACTGTAACAAAAGTAGAAATATGTCACACGAAACACACATTGGGGGATTTCGACATATTATAATAGTAGATTTCGGAATTAAAAAGTTTATACTATTAAAGATAATTTACTGCGTCAAAGATTATAAACTCACGTGATAAATCAAATGAACTTAAAATGAATTGATGTATAGGCCAATTGATACGCCAGCCGGTTATATCAATCCTGCATAATATGATGTCAAGCAAAATGCGTCGCCTTTTTGTCATGTGATTGCTAGCGATTCGTGTAAGTGATAAATAAAGGAAAGTTATTTATAAACTGCGGGTCTGGCTTTATTCATCTCTGGCCTGTGTTCAATGTAGCTGTATGTCAAGATTCCCAGAGGTCGCTAAACGCAATAATTTAGCAGAAGTCCTTAGTGTTTGATGTGTTTTAGGACATCTTATACAGGGCCGCGGACCCCGGCAGCGCCTGTGTGCGAAACCCATGAAGCGCCTCCTTTTTCTATAGGGGTCAAACGAGCCTTAGGACGGAAAAAATGGCAGTCATTGAATCTCATAGACATTTTTAGCGGGTGTGTTGCAGGCCTTTGAGGGAACTCCTTCTATATTTTCGGCCTATTTTTTAAGAATCTTCAAGTTTCAATGTATTTTTTTAATTTTGACTGAAAGAAAATTTTTCTTTAGTTTAATCCACTTAAATAGGTAAAACGTCCGCTGGCCAATTGCCGTGAAAAAT